TGCAAATAGACCAAGCTTGCTGCCCTAATGCCTTTCCAAATTAGGAAGAAGGGACTTGGTACAGCGGGAAGAGAGCATTTACGAGCATAGTATATACTCACAACATTTGGTGTGGCTAGAATGTTGAAAATTCTATTAGACATGTACACTCTCTACTGAGGCTTTGGTTTGAACCATCTGGCCAGTATTACAGGAAGGACCACTTGCTGGGCCAGGGGATTAAAGATGGCAGGTGTTGTGAGATACTGTGTGAATATTAGAGCTGGAGAATGAAGCAGGTGGATCAGGATGAGTTTCTCTCTTCTGTCTCAAATTGCTAGCTGCAGTGGGAGACCTCATGGAGCATTTAAGAATCTAGATGGTTGACATCCCAGGACCAAGACGGTGAAACAGAAAGCAAATGGAGTGTTCAGACAGCATTTGGGCTGCCACCTGGGATGTCTGCATGCACATAGCAGTGCCTGCTTTCAAGTCCTGGCTCCCTCTTGAGGTTCTCTCTTGCTGCCAGCATGCACCATGGAGGCAACACATGCATGGCTTGGATAGTTGGGTCAATGCTTCCTATCAGGGAGACTCGGAGCTTTGGACTCCTGCCACCTGAGTGGCCCAGCCCTGGTCATGGTAGGCATTTGGGGAATGGACTATGAGACAGAACACTACTCTCTCTCTCTCTCTCTCTCTCTCTCTCTCTCTCATTCTCTTTCTCCTTATTTAACTCTCTGGCTTTCAAATCAATCAATCTGTAAGCTTTCTTTGAAAAATTGTTAGCTTATACTTATGGATTAGTCTCACCTTTTAATGGTCAAGTTGACTAGAAATTCATTAATCCTTCCCCAAATATTTTTAAGACATAGGGCATTGAAATAAGTCTGTACTGGAAACCAATGGTTAAGGAAATATAATACATAAATAAACTATTCTGTGCTTCTGTGCCACTGGTTTATTCCACAGATTGAGACCATGTAATAGATCTGTTACCCATGTGTTACATCATCTAGTCCCTTTAACTATCACATGATAGAGATGCGGTGTTAGTGCTTCCATTTGTTGATGAAAAAAAGGCCTTATAGTGTTTACTTACTGAAGTGCTCGTAGCCCATGCTTCTGTGTTTTATAACTTCATTACTGTTGGCCCCATGGCTCCCACTCCTCTGCCTACTTAGAGGTCATTTTCTACAACATAGCCATAATTATTATTTTGAAATATAAATCATGCCACTCCTCCTACTGTTGTTTTCTAAAGGGTTTTCATTGTGTTCAGGAATAAAACAAATTTGGACGAGATTTACCATTTGCCTCATTTTATTTACATACTTACCTGAAAGCTGAAGAAACAGAGACAGACAGACAAGGATAGATACTGAGAGGAAGAACCATTAATTCAGTGCCCAGATTACTACATTGGTAATTTGGGACTCCATAATGCGTTAAGTCTTCTTCAGCTTTCATAGTTAGGGATCTAAAATGTGTCATCTACAGTCTCCCTCTTTTTGTTGATTGAAAGCTTGGCAAGTTGTTTCTGGATTGGTTGTCTTGAGCTTTACTCAAAAGGAAATAAAACCTTGGAGAATGACTGTTTTACAGAAGTTTGTTTAGTGTAACCCAACTATAGCAGGTGACCTCAGTGCTTACGTATATTGAACTGTATTTGGAAATTTCAGAATCTATCACAGGCTTGTGTCAAATTGAGAATCTAAGGAAAAAGTGAACTGCTACTCTTCTTTAATTTCATGCTGTTTTTCTTTATAAAAATCATCTGGATTTATTTCTAAATGAAACAGTTGTGGCAAATCAAATGATTGGATTTTTTGTTAAATTCCTTAGGACATAAGAATTAAACCTGATGTGAACCTCAGTCCACTGAGACACACTCCCTCCCCATTCTGCCACACAGAATTACCTTCCATTTTTTCTCACAAGTGTCTATGTTCGACAGATCTGAAACCAGTAAGATCCAGGATCCTGGAGGTCTATTCATGTTTTCCATGCTGCCTTCCCAGTTACATTAGCTGGAAGTTGAATTAGAAGAGGAATAGCCAGGATCTGAGCTGGTGCTCTGAGATGGGATGTTGACATCATAAGTTGCATCACTATGCTGGCCTTATTTGTTTTCCCACTTAATGTTATTACTTTGAGATTTATCAATATTTCTGCATATAGCTCTTGATGATATATTTAGTAACCTGTTTGATGTTATACCTATTTATTTATCCAATTCTTTTATTGATTGTTGTCTGTAGTGGTGTTCAGTTTGAAGCTAATTATATAGAGTGTTACTGCAAACATTTTTTTTATATTTAAATTTTTTTATTTATTTAGTCTTACTTTGTTTTTTTTTAATTAACATTGTATTATGTGATACAGTTTTATAAGCACTGGGGAGTCCCCCCACCCCTCCTACACCCCTCCTCCCATAGTGGATTGCTCCATCTTACTGCAAACATTTTGATTTGTGAATCTGATGGAATATTTTTGCATTTTTTGATGGTGCATTTATGAGTGGTAAAGCAGATACATGTTTAACTTTCAAAGATAATACCCAAAGATCAAAGCAGTCTCCACTAACAATGTATGAGAGTTCTAGCTGCTCCTTGTCTTCACCAATACTTGATATTTTTCAATATTTTTCGTTTTGTTCTTTCTGATGGAAAGTGTAGGTGTAGCATTATGATTGTAGTTTTATTTTTCTGAAGATAATAAAATTGAGTAATTTTTCATATGGATATTCTTATATAATGGAGTGTGTGGTCACATGTCCTATTTGTTCTCTTGGCATGTCAAGGATTTTAATTATTGATTAGCAGAAGTTCTTTATATATTCTGCATATAAAGTTCTTTGACCCATACATTGCTGTAGGGCTTATATCTTATTTATTTATTGGTTTTAACATGTAATAAAGTTATAAAAGACTTTGGGGCTTATATTTGAAAATAGACATATACTTAAGTATTCAACAGAAATGCGTATCTAATTGCATTGTGCTGTTTGGGATTTGACATAATACAAAACTTAGTAACAAAATCCATATAAAGTAAAAAAAAAAGTTAGGGATAATTCAGTCCTTTATGTATTGTGGACTATAGAAATGATTTTTGTGTTTTTGTATAGCACACATACTTTTTCATGAAACAGCACATAGAAGAAATATTTACTCTGCTTATATTCATGCCTTAATTTATTGTGTCTTGGGTAGCTACAGATTCCACAGTGTTTTCCAAAACAGGGTATGCAGTTAATGCAAATTCAAACTGCCTAAATTTGGAATTAAGTCATACAATAAGAGTAATATATGTTCATCCGTATGTAATAGCATCATGTTAAAAAAACATCAAGACTTCAAAGCTGTTTCCTAGTGACTACAAACTGTTTTTTATTTTTCCTTGTGGCTCAGCCCTGTTTTCTAGCGAAACAGTCATTTTTTGGGGGGACTCATTGCACACAGACTTAACAATTGTGTGTGTTTGCTTGGATACAAAGCTTCAGCCTTTGAACTGGTCCAAACCTGCTCAGGCCTCAAACTTTGTGTAGCTGTTTAAATGGATTCTTTCAGCTGAGCAGGTGAGAGATGCTTAGACAATATTTTTGGTGTATGAATGATAGGGACCCCCCCTAATATGGACTGGAATCTTTCTTGTGGTTCTGATCAATTTGGTCTATTTGTGATGGTTAATAACTTACAGGATTCAGTCTCTCGTGAAAGTGTCAGTGCTGTCTGTCTTGCAAGGCTGTGACTTGTCTATGTGTAATAACTTACAGCAGTTCTGCCATTCAGGTAGTCAGGTCATCTGGCACTGATGAGATGCGACCTTTCTTTGAATTCAGATTCAAATGAAAATAATTCTGAAGTAAAAACCTATTGCTTGGGGGAAGATGGCAGTGCCTCCTGGAATATGAATCTTGCAGTGGACATAATAGTAATTCTGTCACCCCTGGAACAGATTACAGTTCCCCCATACAACTTTCAATCTTTGTTTATTGTTTATCACAAGCTAATTCTATTATATCGTGTCATTTTCCCTGGCACACATTATCATTGCTAAAAGTCAAAAGATCTTTAGGCTTGCACTCCTTCCTTACTTAAATGCACGTCACCAGTGGAAGAAAACTGCTCTTTCCAAATAGCCATGTTTCTATGCGATCTGTCTAGCATCTTGTGGGATCCACATTATTACTGCTAAAGTGAGGACTGGGTTATGTAGAAAATGTTGAGGCTTTATCAAGATACTTTTCCTGTGATGATGTGTTGGAATGCTTGCCAGTCTCATAAAACCCAGCTTTACCATCTGCTTGGAGAGACCGGGGAATGAATCAACAATCCTGCTGACTCCATTAGACTCTTTATTGCTTTCCTTCTATCCAGGGAGGCAATAAATAAATAAAGAAAGAAAGAATGCACATGCTCTGTAGGAAATCAGTTTACTTGTAAGCCAAAGCCTGTTGCTGTTTTATCTTTTCCTTCGTTTGTCTTTTAGTTCCCCTTCACTAGGTAGTTTGCTACTGTCACTCATGATGAAAATGTTTGGTTCTTCATTGAGAAAGATCTTTGAATATCAATCTCTCACTGCAAATTAAAATAACTCCTCAGTTGGACGGGGAGAATGTTGCAAACATGTTGGAATTCACTGTTGCCAGCAGAGTGGAACCATCCAATATGTATTTGTGGTGTCTGATTCGTGCCCTGGAGATATCATGGAGCTGCTTTCTCTGATCAGAGCTCTTGCAGTGATACTTAAAAATTAATTGAATTTTCAAGAATGTCAGTTTTAGCTACTGTAGTTGATAGCCAAGAAGGTTTATTTAAAAATATACTGCCACCTACAGCACTGCTGGATTTTTTTTTTGACAGAGTTCTTGTCATGAGTGATAATTAGGCAAAGTTAATTTAGGTGGCATGAGGAGGTTGGAGGGGGGCAATGATTGGTTATTGCTTCTGTTAAGATCTACGAGTTTGCACTGTGCATTTCTTTACTGACCAGGCTGTGTGTCTGTTTTCCTCTAGGTAAAGAAGAATACATTGCCACTTTCAAAGGATCTGAATACTTCTGCTACGACCTGTCTCAGAACCCGATTCAAAGCAGCAGCGATGAAATAACTCTGTCCTTTAAGACCCTTCAGAGGAATGGACTGATGCTTCACACTGGGAAATCAGCCGATTATGTCAATCTTGCGCTGAAAAATGGAGCTGTCTCTCTGGTCATTAATTTGGGATCAGGGGCCTTTGAAGCACTAGTGGAACCCGTGAATGGAAAGTTTAATGATAATGCCTGGCATGATGTGAAAGTCACCAGGAATCTGCGTCAGGTAACAGTGCAGTGGATAAGAGAGTAACTGGCTTTGTTTCTCACGGCAGCTGTGTGCGTGGTATTTGAAAACCCTAACCACATGAAACAGGGCTCCTCAGAGTCGCTCACAGTTAGCTTTTTCTTCTTCTGAGATGAATCTTCCTGCCGTGCTTGAGCAGGGGCATATCTAGAAAGTTGTGGGGCCCAAAGGCTATTTTGATAGAGTGTCATGTGACAGTTTCCCAGGGGGCTGCCGGGATGTCCCTGCGCCCTCCCCTTCCTATGATGTGTATGATATTTTCTTGTTGTGTTTTTTTTTGTTTGTTTGTTTTAGTTTTTTTTATTTGTTTGATTTTAAATGATAGTTTTCATGGTGATCATTTGGAAGCATGCACATTGGGGTCATTAATCCCAGTTCCTTTTTTTTGTAGTCAAAAACAAACAAACGAACCTGTGTTTGTGATTTGGGATTGTACCAGTCCCTTTCTCCTCCCCATTCCCACCCCAACAATGGGCACAAGAAAGGTCCCCGAGCTCTAAGGATCTGCTAGAGATGATGTTTATAAGATGTTTCTATTAGCACAGATACTAAGTTAAACCCCAAATGACACCTAGGTACCCACTCCTATCTGGCTGTTTTTAGCAATTCATGTACAAGTCTCTAAACATGGAAAACAGCCACTCTTTATTCAATCTGTGGGTCCAGCTGTACTGTATGTTTTAAACTGAGATATATCATTGTAGTATATGTATTTATATACAGATGGAAGTGAATAGGTTACCATTCTATATTGAGCATGATTAGCTGTGGTTATTATTTGAAATTTTATATTATAGTATATCTTTTCATGAAATGTTGCCAGTGACTTATTTTACTATTTCACTTTTTGTACTACATGCTTATCTCAAACTAATATCCTTAATATATTTGTTGTCTCTCTGAACATTTGCAGACTGATCGGATTGTCTCTGGTTTTCCTTTTACTAAAATGGCCCTCTTTTCTGAGCTGTTGACTGTCTAACCGTTTCTTTCTCATTTCCAAAAGGCTTCAACTATCTGAGCTAGAGAAGCCAAAAGGAGCTGTAGGTTTCATGAAGTAGTCTAGCTAAGGTAGACAAGGACAACACAGAGGACCCCAACAAGATGCCTTGTTGACTTGGGAGGGGCCCTGCATGCTTCGCACCTGCCCAGGGAGGTGGTTACCCACCACCAGTACAGCTGTAGACCACAGATTTCCTCAAAGTCTGTCTCTTTGGTTGTCCCTTTTTTATTTTATTTTTTTTATTTTTCTCTCAGATACTCACCAAGAGACCGGAGGCTCATTTGAGAGAAGCACAGAAGGAAGGGTGGGGCTTGAGAAGCCCACTTTCTAGATTTGCCTTTGCTCAGGTTACAAAACAAGCAGCGAATTGATAGCTTGAAGGAAACTTGCTGTACAGCCCGGGTGCATGTGTGGCAAGACAGATGAAAAACAAATCCATTCTACTCATTGTTTGTGTCAGGATCTTTGCTTTGTCTCATTGCAGTCAACTGTGACCCTAAAGTCCATCAATATGACCGAAGGAAGTTTTGGAGTTGAGGAGGAGTCCTTGTATGCTGTAAAATTGAGTAGTAGGGCAATGCCAATCAATTCCTTACTAATTTACTGGGGTCGGGGTGGGCCAGGGCGGGGGAGGGTCAATTATGGGGCATAAAGTAGCAGTGGTCAGCCGATAAGCTGTAGGCCTTTGAATCCCTTCTAGACTTTTTAAAGTGCCTGTCAGATGTACTCAGAAGGACAAAGGGAACATTGCCATGTGTCTGTTTTCTGTCTAGCAGCAAGTTATGACCTATAATGGCAGGAGAAAAAATATATATTACCTCTATGGGAGGCCTATTTGTTAGTCTGCTTTTTTCTTGTAAAATTTTTTTGCCCTTTTTCTATGTTACTAACATGCTTAATAACTAACATGTCATTCATGGAATGTTTCATTCTACTAACCGTTACCTGAATCAAAAAATGTACTAACATGGTAGAGACCATCATATTTTTTAAGTAACGATCGTTATTCTGTTCACAGTTTTTAATTTCCTTTCTCCCCCCTTCTCCACAAAGCACTCAGGCATTGGACACGCTATGGTAAACAAACTACATTGTTCGGTAGATATCATTCTAATTGTTTCTTATTTTGGGTTTGCCGTGTGTTTTCTTTCTTTCTTTTAACTGTAGACATCATTAACAAAAGAGGAACTGCGGTTGGTACTCTTCTGCTTACTTTGACCTCTTCCTTTCCATCTGTTGTTGATCTTCTTATTTTTTACCTGTTCCTGTCAACTTCTGTTTCCTAACTCACCTGTAGGGGCATCGTTAACGTTTCGAACGTTTTGCATCCAGCTGTGGTTAACACGGAATAAGACAAATGGTGGCTGGCCTGAGTGACCGCAGGCTCAGCCAGTCTCTAACCATTCATGATGCATGGCATGGATACTTGATTTGGGAATGCTGGGGATGCCACACCCACTCATCTTTACGTCATCACAACGCAGTTGTTTCTTTTCCTTTGGTTCTCCCTGTTTTCTTTCCTTTCCTTTCGGAACTGTACTGTCCCTCCTGCATGTGCACATCCATGTGTGCCGCTTCCACTGGTTGTTTTGCCTTTTCTTCCCCTTTGGCATGGATTTAGGCACTTGCATGCTAAACAATTGCTGCTTAATAGTGCAAATAGTGACATTGCTGGAAATAGCTTGCGCCTTTTATGTTAACAAGGTGCACGTTGTGATTAGTTAATAATAGACAACTAAACTTTACTAATATGTACACCAGCAAAACTAACCTAGGAAGCATTTTACTAACACCATTTTTGTGTCTGCTAAATGACTTTTGAGTTGCAACAGGGATGATGCTGACACTAGTTCAATAATCAGTTAACTCTAACTAGTTTAGATCTCCTAGGGCTAGTTGAATAGAATCAAGAATAAACCTCAAACAGACATGAAAATGGGTTCCGTCATAGGTCTAAAAATAATAATAATAGTAATAATAATAAACAAAAAAACTCAAACAGAAAAAAAAGCAAAAAGCAAAACAAAACAAAAAAAAGTAAAACAAAGCAAAACACAAAACAGGCATATCCCAGGATGACAGTATCTAGGTCTGAGTATAGCGTGTCCTTTCCCTGTGCTTTGTTATCTAGGTGACAATATCAGTGGATGGGATTCTTACCACAACCGGCTACACGCAAGAAGATTATACCATGCTGGGGTCTGATGACTTTTTCTATGTTGGAGGCAGTCCCAGCACAGCCGACCTGCCAGGGTCACCAGTCAGTAACAACTTTATGGGCTGTCTCAAAGAGGTAAATATCGCGGTCACCAGAATCCTTCCTAATTCATGATCTCATCATTTCAGATCCACACTGAAAGAGTCGGGGCAGAAGCCATGATGTCTTCCGAGTCAAATGTCACAACCTTAAATTCAGAATTCTGTTGTATTTTTCATGTAGGATTGGGGAATGGGTGGGGAGGGGAAGCAGCTCACAAAACAACGTGAAGGAATCAAGTTTCCTTCTCCACTTGCCTGTAAGTAATTCAAATAGAGATTTACATGGACAGCTGCATATGGGCTATAAAAGAAAGTCAAACCAATAGAGATGATGAGGCTAAAGTAAATGATTTGGCCATTCATTTTTACTTAAATATCTTACATGTGAGCTATATAGTGGTGACTTGTTTGAATATTAAGGGAGAAAGGAAAAAAAACAGACTACAAGAATAGAATGAGTCTATGTAATAAAATGTCTTACACCTGTAATTTAGGTATGCTAAGTGATAAGTAAGCTGTGTCATTAGTAGTCTAGTGAGTTCAATAGATATTGACCTGAACAAGATGACATAAGCTAAAATGATATCAATAATTTTCCTTATTATTCTCAGCTGTTGTTGTCTACTGTGACTTTTTGTAGGATTTCATTGTATTATGATTTGGGGAGAAAAGCATCAAGAAGTTCTTGAATATGCAGATTGTATATCTTTCTGCTCAAGCATAATCTAATTTCTTCCAATATTGCAAATAGAAGTTCCTCTGAGATTGTGTGGCTGTAATTTAGTGTTCTGGGTCTCTAAACCATAAGATTGAATACTTTCAAACTTTCTAATCATTAACCATGCATGGCATTGATTGATAGCAACAAACTTTGGTTTATTATTAAACAAAATACCTCGATCCATAGAAGCCTGATTCAGGTAAGCATCTGGAGAAAGCAATCACTGTGGTGTTACACCGACTGTGTCTGTTGATGTTACTGTTCTGGATGTTTCCTTTCCTAAGGTGTGGAATTATGTAGAAGAGTGCTAATGAGAACTCCAAAATGCTATAGTCTTAACTGATTCAATGAAATGCATTTTTGAAAGGTTGAATCTCCTCTTACTTTGATTTGTCTCTCAGAGGGTAATTTTTACTCTTTACTGATATATACAGTGAAACAGGTCTGTGTTGAGATCCTTAGGGGATAATCAATTCAAAACAATAAAAGCAATAATACCAATTGTCATAATAATAGAACTAACATTTTCAGAACTTTTACTTTGCAATTAGTGCTATCATAGAGTATACCTTTTCTTCACAATAGTTTTAATTGCATTTTTCAGGCAAAGAAACTGAGGTTTCAAGCCAATAAGCTAAAGTCATACAACTCTAAATATTAAAGGCTGGAGTTCAGTTGAGAAAGTCTAATTTCATATTGCTTTGGGTCTAGACTATCCTAATATGTCATGTCTCATATTCACCTTGTCATAGAAGAATATATAAATTCTCAAGTTTGTTGCTGACTAATTTTTTTTTTTAGAAATGTGCAAGGAATGACGTATTGAATTGTATGGCATTTGAGTTAGAAAGTGTCTGAGCTGAATGAGAGTTCTAGCAGGCAAGGAAAATGCACAGATTTAGATGTGAGAATCTGAGAATGATTCTAATTTGGATGGGCAGAGGATAGAGAAAGCATTTCAAGTTAAGGAGGGACATGATTTAAAAGCACAAAATACATTTTACAAGAAAATTCTTGACACTCCTTTCTAGTGATGATTATGGCAAAAGTAATCCCCAAACACGCACATTGCATTCCTCAAGTTCACTGTGAACCCAGCCAATCGGCAGTTTTTCCCAATGCCTTTCTTTACCTATTAAAAGAAAAGACTAATTATCTTTCAAATTAAAGAAGGAAATGGAAACCCAAAGATTCTAACATAAATGGAAATCTAGCTTGAGAATTCTTTTAGGCAACCTGCAAAAATGTTAGGATTTCCGTAGTGACCTCTAACATGCAGTTAGACGAGTAGTAGTTCTGTATTTACAAGGACAGTTTTTGTGCGTATAAATCTGTGCTTAATTCCTTTATTTTGAAATCATAGTGGTAAACTGAACTGTGCTTCAGATTAATGCCATTAATCTTTAAATTTTTATGTTAAAACTTTTGTTTAAATGTTAAAGCCATGGTAGCAATCTCTTTTTATGTTGGTCTTTCAGCCACTCACCCCCCCGTCCCAAAAAATCATAAAACGAAAAAGAAAAAAAGTCAGTCGGTCTTGAGAGAGTAACATTTAGTTTACAGCTACTTAGTTCATAAAAAGGGCATTCACTCATGTTCTGGTCTCTATTGGGCTTGGATACAAATGACATTTCTTCATTGATTAGACGCTCCCACTTCTCTCTCTTTCACAGCCTGGTGTATATGTTTCAAACAGGCACGGCCAGCATTTTGTGTATTACTCATGTCATTTCATCCACTTTGTATCCTCCCAATACATTAGAAAGTGCAAGAATACAGACATGATAGACGTATAAATCAAAAATACTTCAGTTGGAGAGCTTTTTGATAGTTTATAGTTTCTGCTAGTGTCTGAATAGCTATTTAGAATGTCTCACTTTTTCTATCCCTGAAATGAAATAATGACCAAGAATCATAGATTCAGAGTTCAATCACTTTATTTCAGATACCCAGCTTTTTAACACTATTGAAAAGAGAATGATATAGCCAGGTCCCTTGTTACAGATCATCTCTTAGCAGTGAGTCTTTGTAAATTTGCCTAACATGTTGTTTAGAACTCATGGCCTATAGCATATTACATGTATAGAACCTAATTACAGCTTTATTAGCCCCTTGCATTTTTTATTTTCAACATATCTAATCCATTTTAGTAGAGTCAATTCAAAGGAAAATTCTAACATCTCATTTAATGTCACAGAAAACTTTTTGGAATAGTAAAAACAGAAAAATTCAAAACAAAATCTCCAAGTCCAATCGACTTCTTTTTTAAATTATAAAATTATTTGTTTCATATACATACTCAGTAGGAGTGCGATATAGAGGGAAGGAGGGAAGAAGGAAGATAGAGGATGGGTACTCCCATCTCTTGAGTCACACCCCAAATACTCAACAAAAGGAATGTTAGCCAGGTCCCTCACAGAACCCCATTTTCTTGAGCCACCACTATTCTTCCCAAAGTCTGCAATAGCAGAAAGCCAGAGTCAAGAGCCAGAGGCAGGAATGGAGTCGATGTTGCAATGTGGGATATGGGCATCTTACCCATTAGGCTGAACAACCACAGCCACTTTATTCTAGAGATGGGGAAATTGACCTAGAGAGATTACTTAACCAAGAATAGTAAAGGGGAAAGCCAAAATTAAAATATAGATTCCTGTCCGGTGAAACACATTTGAATGGCTGACACTGTTGCGTTGTATATGTTGAGACTCAAGGTAGAGAGATAGCCTGTAGCTTGCACTAATTCATATCTTTGTGCTATAAAGATCAATCCAAAATGAAATTATTCGGTATATCAAAACAGTATGATGTATTGTTTACTGGAACTGATTCAAGTCTTTCCCAATATGTCACTTGAAATATCTGTAGAAAGCTCTTCTTTGAAGATATATTTATTTACTTATTTAAGAGTTACAGAACAAGAGATAGCAAGTTCTTTCATCCTCTGGTTCACATCCTAGAAGGCTGCAATGGCCAGGGCAAAGACAGGATCCAGGAACTTCATCTGGGTCTTCCACATGAATGGCTGGGACCCAAACACTTGGTCTATGTACCGCTGCTTTTCCCAGGTCATTAGCACAGAGCAGCATTTGTACTAGAACAGCAGGGGATGTGAACCACAACCATGTGGCATGCCAGCATCACAGGCACAGGGACTGTATGTGCTACATCACAACCCCCACTTGAGAAAACTAACTCTTAATTATAATCACTATATAAGTGATCATGAAATTTTAATGTAAGATGAAATAATTTTAAAGAATTTGGTAAATGTTAATGAATTCTCTTTGGTACTTTGTTTACAATGAAAAGAAATGTTGAATGGCCAAAGAACTTCAAAAAGATCTCTCTATTTTCACTGTAAATACATGAAAATGTCTTTGGATAAGTGCTAGTGTTCATGAGAGTGACGTCCATGAGTATAAATTTTTGAAAAAGAGAATTTATAAATAACAAGTTACCAATCATATATGTTCCAAAACAATGAAATTCTCAGGTCTTTTAAAGTATGCTTTTTAGGGGCTAATGTTGAGGTACTTCAGATTAAACCAGGATTTGCGTTGCTGTTATTCCATATTGGAGTGCCAGTTCAACTGTCCACTGCTGATCACAGTTCCCTACTTTTTACCTGAAAAGGAAGCAGTCAATAGCCCCCAAACTTGGGTCCCTGCCACCTGTGCATAAGACCAGGATGGAGATACAAGCTCCTGCCACAGTTTGGCATAGCCCAGGCTGTTGTGACCATTTGAAGAGTGAACCATCAAATCAGAAGATTTCTTTCTTTTTCTCACCCCTCCTTCTCTGTCACTCTGCATTTAAAACAAATAATTTTTAGCATATTGTTTTACAGTTTGACATTTCAAAAACAGCACTGATCATACTTTGTCAGAAATCTCTGCCTACTATATTCACTTCTCTGATCATGATAGGCGAATGCTAAACTATGTTGCTTAAGAAGTTATAATATTTTAAAGTAATTTTTCTAAGGCGTAGTTTTGAGTAATTGCCACTGTAGCAGAAGCCAGAGATTCCTACAGAAGGAGAGATCATGGTGCTAGATGAAATAAATGCTGAGTGGCTGTCTGCCCTGCACATATGCCCTAGACCACTTGGCAAACGTTCTGTTGTTTCAGAGTATCTCGGATAATTCCTAAGTGATTTGCTTTACAGATATTTTAAGAAGATTTAAAGAAAGATGAAAGTCTCCCTAATAGGTGTGTCAACCCCGGTGTGGTGATCATGCTGTTTTCTGTTGTCAGTGACCTACCCAGAAAGGTGATGTAGCTCCCTGGTTAAGTCTTCACTCAGAATCTGCT